CTGATGGTTCAGTGAAGTATTCAGATGCGACCTATCAAATGTACAGAACCGAAACAGGACGTCACTTAGTTTCCATTGGATTCCTAGCGGGGAGAGTCGAGCATGTGGAGTATATGCTCAAAAACTTTTTTTGCAACTGCTTGCACTTTAGGTGAGAAGCTGCGAAAGCTTTTGGTCAAACATGGTAACTTCAAGAAGGTTGAGATTGCAGTGCGGAGGTACTATGAGCGGAAGAGTCGGTATGAAAAAAAAGCTGGCTGGTACACCCGCAATGTGCTCATGGAGAAACATTCATCGACCAAGAACCTCTGCCCATTGTATATAGGATCAAGTATCTGTAGGATGTTCAGGGTATGTGTGTCTCCCTCACCTCTGAATGAACAGCATACTTAGGAAGATGTGTGATCATGCCTTTGAGTGGGCTGGCAAGCAAAAAGGTTTCCTGCGGGTATCTCAGATTCATGGTGAATCGGAAATTTTTGCGATCGTGGATGATACTTGGACTCTCTCTGAAGAGAAGGGTGAAATCCAGCAAGAGCACATGAGATTTGATGCAGAGGCTCGACTTCTAGTCAAACCATGCATGCATTCTATAGCAGTGCAAAATCCGTATCTAGCATTATCTAGCTATAGTTATCATGGTGGTGGGGTGCAGGACACTGAGATGAACTTCATTATGGAGAACGACGACCTGCCAGACTTCACACAGTCTGCAACCGATTTGCTCGCCCATGGTCAGGAGATCAGTGGTGCTGGCAATGGATCGGCAGAGGACAACGGACTGAAAACTGCCTCATCTTCCTTCAAGTTTCTTGCCTGCTTGGTCCTAGTATGCATATGTCTTGGAGCATGTATGTGATGTTCCCCATTGTTCTGCAATGATTGGAGATGATCCTTGTTCAGGCTTTGCTATCCTAGCTTGAAGCAGAACAGCTCGCACCTGTCAATGTTGCCCTCCTACGTGGATGTGTGCACACGCAAGCTGGACAACACTGAGAAACTATTGGTGACTTATCCGCATTGAATGAACACATGGTGGACGGCGCTAGATATGTTTTGCGGTGTCCTTTTTATTCGGGGCAATGGGAAACCACACTTGTCTCATGTGCCATGTACTTCAGGAGAACCTTCGTGCAAACACCACCCCGCGGGCCAAAACGCTACCCGGCTGCATAGGATGCTAGTACATGAGACCGTAGTGGTCTTGGAACATTAATTATTCCGCACTCGCTCCTAAGGCTGGTGGATCAAATCGATCACATTGTTGGGCAGCTCAAATCCACCCAGAAATCCATGATGGATATTCAGGGTGATGCACTGCTTTATCCCGATAGGTGGGTGTTGTTTTTTTTATCCACTGCTTTCAGCTATATATATACATGCATGTTCAATGCCAGGGACTTTGAGTCGCAACTGCAAAAGCTTTACGCATCGTGTACGAAGTTGGATGTCACACTGAACAATTACATCGTGCGTTCCAAGTATGCAGCTTAATTTTGCATTGTGTTCATGGTGAAGTTCATGGTGAGAATGCATACACGCTGCTAGAACATGTCGGATCCAATCCATATTGGCCTGAGGTCCATCAAGAAAGCCCCCAAGGGCACGGGGGGTACTGAGAAAAAACGGGCGTCTGCCAAAGCGGCTGGCAAAGCCAAGAGTGCCTCCCGAAAGAGGAAGGGCGCTGAAGAGTAGATTTGTTTGGTCTCCTGCCACTGGTGCAGGCTTTGAACCGCATGTCGCAGGTTCATGTTTTGATCTAACGGGGCTCTCAAGGCATAGACTCAAGTGCGCAAGAGGCTTCATCCTTTAAACTTCAAACTCGTACCGTGCACAACTTTATATTCCAAAGCCTGGTGCATTCGAGAAGCCTTGAGCTAACTTCTTGAAAGAGCTGGTAGAGGTTCAAAACAATTTGCAAATGCAGCTATTGTATCAGCACATATCAGCACCTTTTGTTGGAACCTGCCAAAACTTATCAGTCCTTCCTTCCACCCATGAAGGCCCCAACCACTAGCCCATTCATCTGCCTGGGCAGGTCTGTCCTCCAGTGATGAAGACGAAGATCGAAAAGGCTTCTTGGTTGCAAGCTCCTGCAAAAGGCTTGTCAAGTGCAGGTGTGAGGGAGCGTTCTTCCTAGGTACGGGCTCTGAGCTAGCTACAGAGCTCCTCAGAGGTGTGGAACAAGGCTCACTTCCTGCCTACCAAGCTGTTCGACTAGCAGGCCTTGTAAAGAATTCTCTCCAGCAAGGCAACAAAGCTGGTCCTTTAGCATCGTTTATATAAAACTTTGTTTTGTCTTTCTATGTATATATAGATAGATAGATATCTGATTGAAAACCGGTCCCATATACATCCATCCTAGGAGTGGCAATAGACCCACGCTTATCACTCTTGGGTGGGTCTCGGGGATCTCGTGATCATGCTGTCCGCAATGGCTGCCGGGATATGCACAAAGTTATGGGGAAGATTGGAGGCTACCTACCAGTGGACATCAAGTTCGAGAAAGTCCCTGTGAGAACAATTACCAAATCTCGAGTTGGTGAGACAATGATGGATATTGCAACCCTTCCACTGTCGTCTTGGTTCAAAGCTTCAATCAATCTTGGTGGCCATTTCTTCTTTGGGGGGAAAAGTCTGGATCATATTGAAGGTTTCATGGAAATCTTGGACAAGTGGTGGCGAAACTACCGGATGTTGGATCCTGATCATCCATGCTTTTGCAGGGATGGTCAGGATGTGGAGGAGCAGTTCAAGTTCTGGATTCCCATAGCACTGCATGGTGATGAGGGTCGTGGCCGCTACAAGCGTCCCATCATGATTTGCAGTTATCAGCCTGTACTGACCAACTTCAAAGACTTACCCAATTTGAAAGGGTGGGAATTGCCAAAAGTTGTTTCAAGAATAGGGGAGGTGTTTGATCGTTTTTGAAGGGGAATAGTTTCCAAACAGCTGCCCCAGCCTTGCAGGGTCACCTATGGCAACCGCCTATTGTATGTTGCTCTGCCTTCACACCTGTATGCTAAAGCCGACAAGACCATAGATGCATTGGTGGCTGCCCTTGTTCAAGACTTTAACAAATTGGCTGATGAAGGGGTGGAAGACCCTCTATTGCAAGTTAAGTTGGCACCTTTTATACTGCATGTTTCTTATATTAATAGTGCAAATACCTCCTCCAATCTGCAAACACTCCTCCTCACCAGGTACGTGCTGGTGGCAAAGTTCATCGATTCAGGCCAATTTTTGTCGGATCCAAGGGCGACTGGCCCCATCTTAGGAAGATCCACAAGCTGCAAACGGGTTTCACCTCCCTTCGCATTTGTCATTTATGTGCTGGGACAGTACCTTTGGAAAAGGATCAAACTTTTTAAGTTCTTTTAGGGAGACCGCTCTCGAGTAGAACAGTTTCTTTGGTGAACAGCCAAAAACATCCATCAAGCTGAGGCATGGTGGGATTTCTCACCAGATGGTTTGCTTAGAAGCCTGCAGCTGGACTATGACAATCCTTCCCCCTTACAAGGCCAGAGCGAACCCGCCGATCTTTGACCTACCAGGTGCACAGTCCCCTCACCGTATACGGGCAGACCCAACCCATACATATGCCATAGGCTATGGGAAGGATGAAGTGGCAGGAATTGTCTTGACCTTGGAAAAGGTTGGTCACTTCGGAAGAGGAGGTCAATTCCAGAGTAGGCTGGACAATGCGTTTCAAAAGTTTGCAACCTTCTGCAAACGCATGAAGAAGAACACCAGCATTACATGCTTCACCAAACAAGACTTCAAGATTAAGAACCCAGGTTGCAATATGCATCTCGTGTGGGTTGTTTCTTTATCCACTGGCCCAAAATTATAGGCTTATCTTATCAGAATATGGACACCCCAAAAGACCGGCCATCTAAGGAAAGGCAGCTTTGCATGCTTGAGGGGACGGGGGCACGACACCGGTGCTGTGGGCTCCTGGCTTGAACACGAGCTCTCTTTGGTGGATATGGCTTCTTTGGTGCCTTAGCGTTGAGCTGGTTCGACAATTCCGCTGATTCTATGGGTCCATGACAACCAAGGATCCTACAGACATCAAATTGGTGGAGGTTATGCAGTATACCAACAAAGCGTCTGGTGTTTTTTGGCGAACCCTCAACAACGGTGCCCTTTTCTTGAAAGGTGATGAGCTAGATCGAACCATAAAGGCAGGATGGGCCATGGTTGACTTTTGGATGCACATGTATGTATAGGATGTAAGAGAAATAAGGGTTGCATCTTTGATATGTTTATGTAACCTAAGGAGGGCTACATATGCTTAAGTGCACTGGCTGCTCAGCGCAAGTGGTTATTCTTCAGGGTGAGACCCAAAATTCACATCCAAGCACACTTTGTGTCACTTGGCTTGCAAATGTGCAAGCCTTCACTGCAAGCCCAAATGATTAGGTTCATAATCTGTTCATATCCAGCTCCTACCCAGGCTCCAGCTACATCACGACCGAGTCCGTGCAAGTTTTGGGATGAACCCAGCCGTATGGATGTGCTGGGGAGATGAAGATTTTGTAGGGAAAATTGCCCGTGCCAGTAGGCGTCAGCATAACAGGACAACATCCCTGAGAACTGTTCAGGTAAGCCTCATGGCGTATAAACGCCAATGGGAAGAAACATGGTTGAAAGTTGAAACCTAGCAAAGCTAGGGGACCGGGCCAAAGGCCAAGATGATGCTGCGCCAGCAAAGAGCACTGCTTTGATGAAGTGTTTGTTGTATGTCTGTGCGGTCTGGCCTGAACGCTTTTTGAAGCATGAGCGCTTTTTGGGAGTTTGTAGCGGTTTTTGGGAGTTGGTAGCGCTTTTGGAAATGAGCGCTTTTAAGTGCTACGAATGAGGCTCCAGGATCAAGCAACTATATACTCGGGAGATGGGGTGCAAACCTGTCCGTGGCAAACCTGCTGGCCCACCTCGCCTTCCGTTCTCCGAACCAGGCGTACATCGCCGGCCCCAGGCGATCCCCTCGACGGCAGGAGTCCTTGGAGTTGTGTGACTCCGACAACGAGATCTCCTGAGGCCTGGGCTGAGATCTGCTGAAGTTAGAGACATGATGATGTGTCCTATTTGTGACTGTGGCCTATTCGTGACAGATACTGTATGACGATGTGATGTGACTGTCCTATTTGTGACTGTGGCCCCTCTTTGTGACAGATATGACCACTGAGACTGTCCTATTTGTGTGGAGGAAGATGTTGCGCCACGTACTTGCCTCTTTGGATGTTCAGTTTCAGCGGGATGTTCAAGGCAACAGCAACATCTCCGAAATCCAATGTGTAAACTACCCAGCAGTTGTCAGGGACCCACCAGCTCGTGTCGTTCTCCGTGGTTCTCCGTGGTTCTCCCCTCACGATGGACGCATCCGAATCCATGTGTCCATCGGGTTTTCCTTTCAGGGGAATCAAACATCATTTCCCATACACTCCATGTATGGAATATATGCTTACATTGACCCCCCAAACCACCCCAATGTAGGTATATATGGCATACATGGAGCGTCTGGGTATTATCATATTTCCTATGGATCCATTGCAGGTCATCGGTTTGGAGGGCACGGGGCACCAAGTCGGGGCTTGGTCATCATGAGTCTTGTGTTAAAAAGGGCCTGCTGGTCACAAGCAGGCTGCTTCATTTGGCGTCCCATTCCCTGTGCCCAAAGTTGGCCACTCTCTGGCAGTGGCATGGCATTGACGATGAAAAGGCAGCAACTCCGGGAGAGGGATTCAGTGATGGTCCGCATGGCTGACACGTCTTTGGGCAAACAAAGTGAGATTCTGGCTTAATGAATCCTGGAGCTTGTCAGTTTGCGCATCCAGTCTTCCTCAAACTTTGGAGGCAGTATGTGGTTGATACAAGTCCTGAACGGATGGTAGAGGAACGTCACCAGCTGTCAACTGGGAGGGATGTTACCAACCCGGGGTCCCTGGTGCCAAGCTGGGCTTTTTGAGGAGTCTACGTACGCAGTGCAGTAGATGGACCCATGCCAGCACCACCGATTCCGGGTGTCCATTCAGGGCGCCACGCCCCTTAGTGACGTGACTGACGCGACGTAGCTCATTCACCAACCCGGTCCAGGGGTCCAGGTCTTTTGCCACCTGGTTAGTTGATGAAGAACGATGGACCGAGCGCCTTCAGAACCGCCAGGGGCTGTTGGAACGTGGCTTGAACAAACCCTCCTGTGATTCCCAAGAACGATGGCACATCATGTTGGAGGTGTTCTTAATTCAGCGACCTATTTGCTTTCCACAAAGACGCAACTCCACGTGACCGTCGTGGCTTCTTTTACTGGATTTTACTGGTCTTCTTTGGTGACTCGAACTTCTTAGACGTGCTGGCGGAAGCATGGCGTGCTGCAGTTTGAGAAAGCAGGGTATTTTGATTTCGTCCATCTACGGAAGTTCTATGAAGGGTTCAGAAAGTGTCCTTGTTGTGTTTATACTACCCGAGTAGTATAGTGGTGGTTGATCTTCCAACAGTTGTTTTGTGAACATGGTGGACATATCAGGTTCATTAAGGGAAGATCTCCACATACGAGTTCAGGCCACTGGCCAGCTGGCCAATTGATCCTCGTTTCAACCCTTCATCCGCTGCCGTACGTTTATGCTCCTGCACCACACAAAAATGGTTAGTTTTAATATGTTTTATTATCTATGTTAGTCCACTGTTGCTGTAGGAATCTGTGCCTATCAACCATAGAACGGACAATAGGATGCAGGACAAATTATATATAAAAATATATGTTATATATATATATATATTATATAATTAGATATACTTCCATCACAACCACAGCTTTCCCTCAATCCTGGAGGTGAGCCACTGGTATGCAGAATCACATACAACGGCCCCAACCAGATGCGATCTGAAACTGGAAGACTTTGGCACTACCACTTGGGCCAACCTATTTGGATCTCCTTTTCATTTGGAGATCCCTAGGTCCTAGGGGGTGACACTTAGGTCTGGATACGTGGTCGGATGGTCGGATGCTCCTGGAGCGCGACCAGTGGTTTTCGACCGACACCAGGTAGGTCCTGCCCTTTTTCGGTCTGGTGCCCTGACCCACTGCCATATTGGCTGTAAAGAGAATGGTGGGCCAATCATAGATGGCCTTTTAACTGGTTGATTGATTGAAAGAGGAGAAGAAAAAGACACTGAGACCTGTTTAAGACCTGTTGGTACCAACAAAAACAATGTGTATATATATACCTACTCCTCCGTTAGCCTCCTTTTTCTTGGGTTAAGCCACTTCCACAGGTTCTTCTCAGAATAACCCGGATCCTTCAAAAAAACATGGTTTTTTTATGTCACCAAAATCACATAGTTGCTTGGTTGAGTGCAACTGCCCCCCTCCCCCCCTCCACACGCACATCCCTGAAGGCTCAATGTTTTTTTCATCTGAGCAAGCCAGCTTTGATCCAACTTGCCTTGCATGATATCAAGTACCTCTGAAGTGTGCGATCCATCACTGTCCTGATGGAAACCCTTCGGCTTACTCGAGCCGTTCTGCCAATCAGGTCTTCATCAACCTGTGTTGCAACCGAAATGGGGTTGCATGCAAATCCGCATGCTGAAGAATCATGAAGGAGCTGCAAGCCAATGTGGTGGAAGACATGCAGTTTTGGGTAAAGCGGAAACAGATGCGGAAGGGATTTCTGCCACTGTCGCACAGCCAACTCTTGGTACATGCGCAAAAAGTCCAACACCTTCTTTGCTGCAAACAGGCTCTCTGTTCTGTCCAAAAAGAGTGGGCTCTCATACAGGAAGCTGAAGAACGCATTCATGGAGCACACAGCCAACAGGCACTTGTTCATCTCTTCACTTTGGTGGGCAAATTCACGAATCAAGGATGGCAACCACTTCAAGAAATTTGTTGTTAGCGCACCCTTGTGCCAGTTGCCCATGGCACCAGTCTTGTCACCATAGCTCATCAAGTATCCTGTGATTTTCGTTATGTGCGGTTGTCGGTGCTCACTCCGACACCACCGCCGATAGTGGTCTGTGAGAAAGCTCCAACGCTCATCCAAGTTCGAGCACGGCAGGTAGTCAAGCATCAACTGCAAACAAGAAGCCACTGTTGAACGTCCAAATCCCAAATGGACTGTGTGCCAAACATCGTACATGAAAAAGGATGCGGGATCCGCAAGGTCGTGCGGAAGCTCGGCTATGAAAGGCGGAGGTTCCACCCATGGCAGCTTGACACCCATGGTCACAAGCCAGGAGGGCCTCACTCCTGACAGCTCCTCATAGTGATGCTCACCCGTGCCAGCAAGGCAGAGGTGGCATATGCCACGAGGCCTGGCATTCTCTCGACCTCTCTTCACCCCAGTGTTAAAGGCTCTTGTGAGCCTTCCGGCCTTTTGCAAATAGGGAAGGTCACCATTGCAGCCCAACACCACAGCACGGTAGCAGACTCCAGTAGTTTTGCAGGTCACACCAAATTCCAGAAGCCCATTCAAAGCTCTGGCAAGGACAGTCATGGCCTCGTAGAAGATATCCCCATTTCCAGACTCATACAAAGTCTTTGGGATGACTGATGTGACAAAACGAGTCGTATACACATGTCCAGAGTAATTCACGTGCAGTTTCGTCGGGTCTGTAGATCGCTTGGTGCGTTTCTCATCAAAGCCGCAGCCCAAGATCGACTGTATTGACGTCACCAGAAGACCACCGCGTTTCAAGGTTCTCCCTTCGTCTCCATGGAGTAGCAATCCTACCGTTCGGGACCAATCCATGTTCTCTCTTTCTTCAAGGAAAGGCGCAAAGTTGGGCCGGAGCTTTCTATACTCAGCTCAGAAGTGTTCCCATCTCGGCTCAGCTAAGTGCCTTTGATCATCTTTCAGGCCCGCAAGGGCATGCCAACAACCATGATCTACGATAAATTGCAACCAGTCTTGTGGCGAGAGCCATGGGATCATATGGGGCCCAGCACGAAACTCAGTGATTGGAAGATCAAGAGTTGTTCTTTGCTCTTTGCAAACTTTATGGACCTTCTCTTCTGAATGGGACAAGGGAACCCTTGCCCAATCTAGCACCCCACACTCACTTGCCGCTGTCTCTCCAAACTCGGCTGCCACAGCTTTGGCAGTAGCGATTTGGCTGGTGCAGCTGGCCTTGGCGCGACAACCCCAAAAGGACATGTTATATGAATTGTAATGAACAGCTTGGGTGGCAGAATGCTCACATGCATGTGCACACACATTATGTATATGCGGCTTCATACTTGTGCATCCACAGCCAGCTCAAGTAGAGGGACGCTAACTCAAAAGCAGCAAATGCTTTTTTTTCTCCACCTACCTTTTGAAACTTATCAAGATTGAATTTTCCCAAGGCTCCTTGGGTTGGCCAAAAAGCCAACGGTTCTAATTGAAACGTGCAGGACACTGAGCAGCTATACACTAAGTTCACCTAAGTTCAAATTAGATCGATCGATTGCACGGTGGAGGATGTTTGAAAGACCGAAAGACCACATAGGTAAAGAAAGGCCCCTTTCCATCAAAGTCTGCACCAGCAGTGTCACCACCAGACCTGATGTTCTTGCAGCCCTGCGTGCCTGAGTTGCCACAATGTTGTAGATTTAGCGCATGCACTCCATGGGCAAGTTGCATACCCTTGAGTCCTTAAGTTTCTAGCCCCTATAGATTAGACAGCTTTGTTCACAGCCATTCGTTGGTTGCTGACATGGCACTGGCAAAGCGGCTGATGAGCGCTGCTTCCAAAAATGCTGGGCCATGTGGATTCCCAGCAGCATAAATGATCACCATATCTTGAAAACGCTCAACTGACTTCTCATAGCCGAACTTTGAGTTGGACCACCGGAAGCTAGGGTTGTGGGTGATCCCGAACTTGAAGGTGATGGGAGAATGCTTTTGATAAAGCGAATCAAATGTTGCCACCGCATGTTCCAGCACTTTCCCTGCTGTAGCCATGGGTTTGGGGAGCCTACAACTCAACCGTTCATGTTTTTGCATCGACATGAACACATCAGGCGTACGAGGTAGGTTGCGAATATCTTCATACCGGCTGTAGTCATACTCAGGCAAGAGTCTTTCCAGCGGATGCATGAAAGGTTTGTTTTCCTTGAGGTTGTCTGTCCATTTGTCTAAGGTCAAATCCATCTTCATAGTTGTTCCTCCGCCTTTTGATGATGGGGAAGCTTCCCAAGCGTAGGGTACCACAGAATCCTTCAGTGGGACAGAAGGTCATTGGTTGAAGTTAAAACACACGTTTTGATTATAACATGACCAACCGACTCTTTAATAACAAAATGTAGTAAATCATTCCCAAGGTTCAGAACGGTGGCAGGTAAGAAGATCTAGAAGCTCATCGTATGGATCTTCCGAGCACTCCATGGGTGAGTCCATGATTTCACAGGTCAAAGAGGCAAAGGTTGGCACGCAACTAGCCCTCATATAGAACATTGCAACATTAAAGTCCGTATATGTTTTTTGTTCAAACATAACTCTTGAATGGAACACAGGTCGAACTAAATATGTTCATCATATATGTCACATGTTATGTTTGTCACTTCAAGGTAATTTGTTTGTGTGTGCTTCCGGTTTTGACACAATGTCAAGATCGAGTCAGTGTTTGCGTGCTATTGGACATATTTGCATGGTTTGAGGGTCAAAACATCGCATTGACACCAGGAAGGTCACAAGGGTTTGCCACTGTGTTGGTTCCACCATCACGCCAAGCCCCCGGCCCCGGATCCGACATTCTTCGCAAAGGCTTTGGCGGTAGGCCCTGCACCTGGCATAGAAAGCGGAGATTAGTGCAAGCAACAGTGTGGGAGAGCCCAAGTCCTGGACCTTCTGTAAAACAAAGTCACTGCCCAAAAAGAGTTGTTTTTCTTTCCCACCTTCTCTGATCAGAGCTGCGGTCAGGTGCTAGCTCGAAATATTCCACCTGATAAAACCCCTTGGCACAAGCCATCAACTCTTGTACTCCATAGGTCACACTTGCCTTATTATTGGGTTCTTGACATGCAGAGGGGCCCTGCAGTCCCCAAAAATGAAATATGATGCAACAAGTGTTAATATACAAAGGATGAGTATAGCAACCAACACTTGACGGATCCATGCCAGAGCTTCACTGATCCTTCATCAGTATGCTCGAATTTCCATTGTGTCCAAAACACACTGGATGCAAACCCCCACGCGCCGCTCAGGAGAATCCTACTTCTCTTCCTTCACAGTGCGCTTGAAGTGCCGCTTGGCACTCCTGGGGCAGGCGGAGAGGAGCTGAAGTTGGAAGCCACTATGTGGAAGAAAACGATCATCTAAGTCTAAAGTTATCAACCTCAATCTCCCGTATACAATTGAGTTCATTGCACTTTCAAGCTTAAGATATTTAAGGCCCATGAAACATGGGCGGGTTTGTTCTGCGGTCTTGATAGGCTGACCAACCGTTTTGTAAACTTGGCACTTTCAAGGATCAAATGTCTGTTTGGGTGTCTGACCTGATCCGGGCTTCATTCTGGGCAATTTTGGTGCACCTAAGCTTGGCAGCTTTTTAGCAAACCAGATTTTGGTATGAGTGCATGGTAGGTCTAGTTGATACACATGCGCATGGATGCCATCGCTCACATCACAGCACTGCAAAAGTCCCAACAGCAAAGGCACGTAAAAGATGCTTCCCTCATTTGCTGCTCGGACTTTTTGCCCCACCTGGAGCTGTCTACCAGACAAGTCCATGAAGCATTCAGTGTAAACATAAATTCATTGTATAGCATTGCCTGTTGAATATGCACAAACACACTCAACAGTTCATGTGTTAGCAGTCTAGCCACTCCGTGTCGAAATCCGCCCTCTCGCCCTCAGCCATCAAATTCGAGAGGGTGGAGTAGACCTTGTCCATTTCATTCAAGTCCTGCTCCAGGGCTTTGGCAGACCTGAGCAACAAGTACGTGGTGGGCATGAAGTACGTGCTGGGCATGAAGTACGTGCTGGACAAGAAGTACAATCGATTCTTGCTGGATACACGAAGGACAGTGTTCTTTGGGTAAGTGGGTAGGTAGGTGGGGGGGCAGATGCTATGCACAAACAGCTGATGTAAGTCCGTGACTTTTGTGCAGTAGAGTCTGTATCGTAGTGGGTGTGAAGATCTGCAACCAATGATCGGATCTTGGCCGCCTTCTGGAGTACACTATCACAGAACTTGCGGAAGACATTCTTCGACCTCAAAGCCTGCAGGGTGTATAAAGTGTCCACACTATATGGTACAGTGGGTTTTCTTCTTTATTCAACTTGAGTTGATTTGCGTCTGTGAAGTTCTTATTCGTTGGAAGCATGTGTATAAGTTTGTTTGACTAGCAATCTCCTGCCTCTGAAGTACCAGCAGTGGCAGCAGATTGCATTGCCTTGTTCCTCTTGTCAAAGTCTTCAAGGACCTTGCTGTTCACACCGTCCAACTTCGCACCATTGTCCTAAAGGCTTACACGTGATCTTGGGTATAGTTAGCTCAAAAGAGGCACAAGAGCAAGTCTTGGAACCCTTACAAAAACAGTCAGCAAACATTGGGCTCGGTCCTTTCCAAGCTCCTTGTGTATCTCAGATTTGGTACGTTCTTGGCCTCGCTCTCCTGACTCTCGGATCTCCAGAAAGTATTCATCCTCCCCTCCATAGCGGCAGGTCCTGCATTTTGTTTGCTCTTTAAATATTACAATTTTGACACAAACATATAAACTATGCCTGACAAAAATCACAAAGGGTTTCTTTCAGTGAAACTACCACTGTTTGCAGATAGATGTTGAATCCGTCCTGATAAGATTTGAGGCATCCTGCTGACAAACAGCAATGGCCCCGTCAATCTTCTTCCTCAGATCGAAAGCGCGACACACAGCGAAGGGATTTCATCGATCACAAACAACATTCTGCTCAATAGGTGGTTTTGACACACTTAGCCCTACTGTATATATTTATTTTGCTTAATCAAGCCATGGCAAAATCCAAGCTTCGAGGTCCAATGAAGAACTTTTGACATATCATCACGAGAGTACCATCCAACGGTTACTTTGTTCTTCTCGGTTTCCTTGGTCTCCACTGATCGCTCCACGGTTTTGATGAACTCGTCCTGACAGGACAATAAACTATGCATTTTGGACCAATTGTACCTCCAGGTTTGAGTCTGTGACTTGACTGCGCTAACAGCGAACCTTGTCGAAGTTGCAGGCGGCAAAATCCAAAGCCATCTGCATGTGGTCTCCCTTTTTCCACTGTTGGTGGAGCCAAAGGGGGACATTGAGTTTGCCACCCTTCTTCAGCTCACAGGTCCGTCGCAGTTTTGCCTTAAGCTTAGCCCTTGTCTTCTCGTCCTGGGGAGGGAACAAAGAAAGGAAAGTTATAGTATTCAGAACAGTAAAGAGTACATAGTATGTAGAACCGGAAATGAAGACAATGAGAGAACATTCAGCAAAGCTTCCATAGTAGCTCCAGGTTTGGTTTTCTCTGAAGAATGTTCTTCAGAGGTGGGTTTTTGAGGGCTGATAGATAGATCACGGTCCGCACTTTGTGGGTCACGGGGTCTCTTGGTCCCCGAGGGCAGGGATTGAAGACTTCCCTCCACCAAAGCTTTCATAGCCGCTGCAGCATCAACCTTTCCAGCCTTGAACAGTTCGATGAGAACCTGAGGCGATATCGCGAAAGGATATACTTGTTAATTAATGTTCTTACACACCAATCCAATAGTGCAGGGTGCATATTGTTCTTTTGACATTACTCACCTGAAACATTCAACTATAGCAGGGCACGGCTGTAGGATCCACAGAACTTCCATGGGAGCTGGAAGATCTTGGGGTAGTTGCGACAGAAGTCTCCAACTCTGTGGGGGTTGGAGCAACAGATGGACTAGCGGAGCTGCCCAGACTCTCGATGAATTTGGCAAGTTCATCACCAGAAGCAGGCAATGTGTCTGCCTCTTGCAGCACTGACACCTCCTTGGAGCCATTGGACAATGGAGTAGCCTAGGATCAAGGTGAAATAGGAAGTGTTTTGAAGACCCTTGTTGATGTATGAAACATGGAGAAGCTTGAGTGTCAACAACATTTACACACCAAGTTGCTTGGCTGCGGATCAGTTCTTTGGATTTATCCTATGGACATCAAACTAAGCTACGTGTCCATTACATGTAAAGTGATTCTGAAGAAAAATCACACCAGTTGAATGCGCACTAAAAAAAATCCTTTAAGCTTTGGACTTCAGCAGACGCTGAAGCATCAACGATCGTAATTCGCTTCAGCTGACTCTCCAGCTCCTCAACACATATACCAAACAAAAGGTACAACCATGTACTACCAGAATGCATCCTCAAGGTTAACATGTTGAAGACTGGGCCCCAAGACAGTTCCCAAACTTTCCTAACACAAGATGAATGCACTGGGCAGCTTAGGCGATGCACCTCCAGGTTAGACATATCCTCTGGAAGCTGCGCTTCGCCAGCAAGGATTTTTTCCAACCCTTCGGTGAGGGCATCCGTATCCCATGCTTGGGACATCATAGTTTTCAAAGTGTCCGCTTTCATGAAAGCCATCGTACGGCAAAAAAAAACCTGTTGCTAGATGCTATCGTTTCGTTCAGGGCCAAATGCTTTAAGATACATGGGCATCTTCAACGAAACATGACCACTTCTTCAACATTGACTCCACCAAGAGATGGTTAATACAGTATCCAAGCTCATATTTGTCCGCAACTGGCATCAAATCACACAATAAGTACTTTGAATTTGAAGCGCTCCGTGTGAAAACACCAAGCACTGCTTTCAGAACTTGCATCACTCTCGAATTAGTTGAAGCTTTTTCCCAAGCGTTCAGCTTCAATTGCCAAACAAAGGTGTTTCGACCAGGTTTGTTTTTGCTACTGTCCCCCAAAAATGGACTAAACCCCAACATAAATCATGCTAGACCCTCCAAGACCTTCCAAAACTCAACATAGGAATCCACAGTGGATTTGGATTTTAACCCATAAAATTTTACGGGTTATTACGGGGAAAATACGGGTATATTACGGGGAAAATACGGGTTGAAGAATACGGGTTGCAAACTACGGGTTGATTACGGGTAATAACCTGGTTTTCCATCCAAATTATGGGGTAAAGTACGAGCAATCGTTTCCAAAAACCTGGCTTTTTCAGAATACGGGTTAGTCGATCTTGATTCAAGTTAGTTCATGTTATTTCCTTTCAAGCACAACTTGGAAGCTTTTGGGATCATAACCGCTGAAGTACAGAAACCCTTTTCAGCTACCCAGGATCTCCCGGGACCTCACGGAAAGCTTCAAAGCCTCTTCGGAAGCAGGCTCCGGAAAGTGGCCGGGACTGAAAGGTGAGTCCCTCCTCGAAGCCAATGGCAAACACTGGTCACCCCTGACTCAGTCCAGGGGTCCTCCCAGCTCATAGACTCAAAAGTCTCCTCAGCAGAGGGAACTCCCTCTTCTGGAAGGGTCGGCATTCCCAATTTATCCTTCCGCATATCGGCAAAAATGTCCACGAGCTTGATTCCAAATTGAGTCGGGTATTCCCTTAGATAGTGCAACTAGAAAAAGATGGACATGAGCCAGGGTTCTTAACATGGAAACTCGATCAAAAGAAACAAGCTAAGTCAAAGACTCACTTTTGCGAAGAGCGGGGCCCCCTTTGTAGCGAAGTTTTCCCTTGGAATCCGTGTATTTCACAACAAGCTTGGAAGCAGTTCCTGCTGCTTCCCGCTTCTTCTTTTCCTTGGTCCACCCTCGAAGTTGCCCGGCATTCAGCCGACCAACTGCCGGAGAGTTTGAAAATGCCAGGTGCCTTTTCGGACTGGGTCCTCCATAGTGGAACATCCACCAGGTGGTCCGGTGGACCTGGGCCAGGGCGCTGGCACACTACTCTTGGATGCATGCCTGCACCTAAGGGGATAGGAGGTCGGGTATATGTGCTTAGGTTGTTCTAGCATTTGGTGAACACTTTACACAGGTCTCATAGTGTAAATTCCAGGCCCGACCAAAGATGTCACAAACAATGCTTCTGTGCTCTATATATCGACCCATCTCCAGGCAAGGTACTGCACCAAGGCCTCCACTATCTTGCAACATCCGGATGAAGTCTCTGAACCGGGGATACCACTCGAGAAAGGAATTTGCAGGCTGCTCTACCAGGATAGTCCCATTGAGACATACCACCAGCATCATCAATAATAGCATCCTTAAACTGAGAGGTCATGAACTTGACAAATGTTTTTAATATGGTAATGCATATAGGTCAGAAAATAAGGAACCAGCTACACCCCGCTTTGAGGATTGAAAAGCATACCCATTCACCAATACTGCTTTACATTGAATGAATTCCCACAGGACTGCTTTACACAGAATGTGTATCAGATAATCTCATTGAACACCCGCTAGAAAACAAGAACATTGTTTTAAACAGTTCATGCAACCGGCTCGCGAGCATATTGGCCTCCAATACACTGGTGAATGCTAAGTTCCCAATCGCACAGCATGGACTCCGGTTGCTGGTTCCGGAGTTTATTTGGGTCCATGAGGAACACTTCAGACCAAAGTGACACACCCACCCATCCTTAACGTTGCCACGTAGGATTGTTGCGATGGCTGTCCTTGGTTTCCCCTTGGTTGCCCAGTCCCGCATTTGTTGAAAAAGCGGTTGAACATAGACACAGAAAGTGCATGAAACTAGCATTGCGTTCAGATTCGCAAGTCCTGCGTCAGATGTCAGGTCCATCGGGTTCTGAGCCCCACCGCGACTCTTCATATACATTATGTCAAGACGTGCGGTGGAATACCCACCAAAGGAGAAGCTCTTCGTAGCTCGACCAGCACCAGCAAAGAATTCCACCCAATCAAAGAAGGTGTCATCCTAGCGCACACCACAAAAAACTGAACTGCAAAGGTTGAGAATGACAAGAAATGAGTCAAAATCAGTTGGGCTCAGTGGCTACAAGCTGAACAAACCACGGTGTCCTGCAAACGTGGTGTTCCGCCTTGTGCCATGCCATCTTCCGTCCAAAGCACGAGCAAAACTGTGAAAAGGAGAACCTCAAAACAGGTGAGCGCGAGCAAGGATAGGAAGCGAGGTTATTCTAGAGTAACTCAATTACTGTGAATGAAATCGCACCCACGTATCCAAAATGGTGAAACAATCTATTCGGCACAATTGATATTTGATCTGGCGGATACCTTCTTTGCACCCAATGCAGAAAAGAAGCTTTGGGTGCACCCAATGTCTTGAGTCGCCACATGAGCTGGTCGACACAAGACTTCGAGTAAGAAACCATGGGTCACAAACCAGCAGCCGGCACTGAAAGGTTGCTGCTCAACAGGAAGCCCAAGGGCCCAGAATATAATTTCAACTGGATAGTACGTTATGTTTTATACAGGCCCTGTTGCGTTTTTAGTGTTTGACTTTCATGTGCATGTGCATACTCAATCCTCAAGGGGATCATATAACACAACATTGTTTCACTTCTCATGTACTTGTCCTCAAATAGAATGAGTATAGTATGTGGCGGTGGTCTCTTCTCGGCGCTGAATGCTGCATGGCTTGCTCCATCTGAGGAGCATCGAGCAGTTCCACAGGTCCAACATCGAGTCTCCACGCTATCAAGCTGCACAAAGAAGAACCCTGCAATTGTTTCATTGAGACGCTCAGGTGACCGAGTCACTTGTTCCCAATCAACAAACACTTCATCAATATAAGCTGATCATAAGTGATGTTTTGGGTTATATCGATACCCTCCTATCAAAGGATTCTCTAAAAATCACATGTGGTGTCACTCGCAGTGATTCCACTGGTATATGTCAGAGACCCGTTCAGTTCCAATTGCAATCAAACATGTCGAGCTTGCGGCTGTCTTTGAAGATGCCAGCCTTCACGGCCCATTTGTTCTTCTTGAGGTTCGGCATTCACCTTGGCGGATCCATTGGAGGAAAGCTTTTGTGGCTATACATATAATGGAAAGGATACTTGGATAAAAACACTGTCTTCTCAAATCTTCATATCGAATGATATCGAAAAACAAATTATAGTTCCCATACATGTTTGTTGCGCTTTAAATTGAAATATCACTTTGTAGAGTGCTTTTCGTGAGAACCATGTTGGTGTGAACCGCTCACAGACGCCAGAGTTTTGAAGTTGCTTGAACCATACCAAGTCCAAGCTCCTTTTTTCAAAGCTGCCTGAGACATGAGGTTGACCCCACGTTCACCCCACTTTGAAGCACCCTAGGAAATCCTTGATTGCATGGTGTGCCCACAACAAAGGCTCATCGGCTTTCTCGTGGGAAATCCACCATTTCAAAGAATACTGAGGCAGAATGATGCCTCTCTTGGCTTCGACACCCGTCAGCAATGGATAGAGTACACACGATAAAACAAAATACAAAACACCAATTGTAGATTATGCAGGATGTTAGGGGATGTTGCAGGGGATGAGGGATGAGGGATCATACGTTAGTTTCCCACCGTGCAATTGAGAACACATAAAGGGTCACTGGTCAACTGCTGACTCTAAAGCATCGAGCCACTGGAATTGCTATTGCACACTCGTAGCGACACTAGGATTGAGAGGGGTATATCTCCCCGAGCACTACCTGTGCATTGTACTTGAGTCCTGCATAAACCCGATTGAACTCAGAAGCTGGGTCCTTGTAGGTTGCAAGGACCCCCAAGGCCATGTGGTCATCCTGGCCGTTGTCGGCAATCCATCCAGCCTGGCAGCCACCAGTCAACAGAACACCAGCCCATCTTAAAGATCAACATAGTTCAGGCGTGTTTTTTCATATCAACCATGCATATGTTTGGTTTCTGACAGTTCCATGGTCCAGACTTTGAAATTGCCTGTCAGCGAAATCCCCACTTAGCAAGGAAAGCATCGTATATGAGTGTCAACCAATTAAGTTCAGGGGTGTAGGAGGGTGCAAACTATACATACATGCATGCACAAACAAAGGAACACACACACAGAGAAAAACTGTTGAAAGAGACCCATCAAGAAACCAGCAAAGCTGACGCAACATAGGATGCGACCATTCGCCCATTCCAGTCTCCCGTGCTGAAAGCGAAGTAGGCCACCTGAGGCTTCGCAGGGATCAACCTTGTTTTCACCCCGCTTGCTGTCCGAGTCCAGTAGGGAGAAAGCTCTGCTTTGTCAGTGTTCACTGGGAAGTTCGCATAGAGAAACAACTTCAAATTCTCGAAAGTCAAGCCCTTGGACTTCTTGAGGGCATGGCGAATGATGCCCTGCTTTTGCTCGTCGGCGAACTCGGTGGCCTCAAGGTTCTCCAACTCCTGTGCCCTCCTCCGCCTGGCAGCCCTGGCTTCCGCTGCCTCGGCTTTCTTCCTATCGATCGCTTCCTTGCGAGCAGGGGACATCTTGACCTTCGGAGATGCCTTCTTTCTTCCCCTGCCTTTTCCCGAGCCCTTCTTCGTAGGTGTCACAGTAGCATCTGGAGCCTCCTCTGCGGCTTTCTTGCCCTTGCCCCTACCCCTCTTCTTCGGGGCAGCCTTGGCTTCAGCCTTGGGTTCCGGTTCTTCTTCGATCACCTCATCATCAGCTTTCTCTTCAATCTTCTTGGCTCGCTTCCTCTTGGGAGCTGCCTTGGCCTTAGCCGTAGCCTTTGCTGCAGGCACACTTTTTTCACCTTCTCCCTCACCCTCATCTTCGGACTGGAAAAGCTTTCGCTTCGGGCTCGGGCTGGCCGCAGCTTCCTCTTCCGTGTTGCCCGTCTTCTTCTTCTTGGCTTCAATCTCTTCCATTGCTGACTTCTTAGTCCTGGCACGTTTGGCCTTTGGGGCAGGCTCTACTTCCTCCTTTTCATCCTTGGGTTCATCGCCATTAGGCTCAGCCTTGGCCTTTGCTTTGGCCTTCGCAGCCTTGCGGCCTGCGGCTTTGGCCTTTGCTGCTGCGTGTTTGTCGTTTTTTTCTTCCTTTGCCCTCTCTGCCTTCTCTTTCTCCTCCTGGGCGATGGTCTCCTTCTTCTCCAATTGCATACGCCGAGTAAGCACCGGCACCTGCACAGGCATGCAGGGCTTCCCCAAATGATTACACCTTTCAATCCAGATTTGATTGGACAAATGACAAACAAACTCTTTGGTTAGAGCTTTCCAGTTCAAGACCATTAGATTTCATTGGCTATTGGACACTGAATGAGAAAGTCTTTTCAGTACTATCAACTGTTGTTGAGCCTCTTGCAGTTCTCCTTCCTTCTTCTCCTCTCCAGTCTCACCCGGAGAGCCACCACTAGCCAAAGGAATCAAAGGAGACCCCGTCACCTGAGGCTGAGAATCGTTCAGCATTTCCTCGGCAAAGAGTTCGATGCCATCCAACCCCATGGGTTGGGTCTCCATGTTGTCCGTTGCAGCCACAGCTGCAGCACCTGTCAAGGAATGAAGATGGAGTTGAATTGAAGAATTGGAAAACAACAATATAGATCGATCGATGTTTACACACTGCTTCACCGCTGCTTTGCCTTATCAATTTCACCCAACACCTATAGTGGCTAAATCAGGCCCGTGTTTTTTTTGTCACTATTGCGGCTTTGTACTGACATGCGTGCAAATGAAGGAATCCCTCTTACCAGGCTAAGAAATCACATCTATAGGAAAGCACATATTTTACTATAGAGACCATGCGCTGTTCCAGCCTTTTGGCGTAGGCTGAAACCCTTTGGGAGCATCTGGCCTGAAACATGGTCGGGTAGGAGACCGCATGCTAGTCAGAAATTTAACATAGGCCCCTCTAGTTGTGTCAAACTGTACATGGGAATGACTTTAAGGAAGTCCCCTTTCAAGTGAGAAGCGGTGTTCACATACACTGCTGCCAGTTGTGCGCGCACAGAATCTGAGGAAAGCACTTCGCGTGTTCAGCCTTTCTCGACGCGATCATCGCAAGAAGCTTCTCGATTTTGGCCAGCTGTTTACACTTACCTGGGTTCAGCGATTGGAATCGGAGGGGGTGGAGTTTCGGATCGTTAACATGTATAAAACACATGGGTTGTGTACAAGCGTCAAAATTGAAATGGATAACATGTCTTAACTGCATGCATGCATGATATATAAAATTTTAAATCACATTGTCAAGATCGACTTTGTTGGAACACCGGGGAACAGCTTCAAACAAATATACAACAATGTTGTATGTGATCAAGCTACATTCTTCTACCTTGTTATTGCACTTCTCACATGTCGAACCGGTAGTTGCCACGGAAGCTGGAACCATTTCCACAGGAGTTGATGAAGAGGGCAACGTGGGAAGAGGACCATCGGAACCCCCCGAAGCCTCCCCGGAAAGCGCTGGTTTCCCAGTGTTGCCATTCGTCTCCTCCTCGTTTTTCTCAAGCCACTCCTTGAACTGGGCAAAATCCATTTTGGTTTCCGGATCTTCTTCATCGAAGTCCTCTGGTCCATTGCTAGATGAGGTTCGAAGCAAAGTTTTGCTTGCCATGAACTCAGTGATCAGGTCCTACCAAAGCATGTTCGGAACCATGGGTTCTTGAGAAACACGTACTATATAATATACAATTCCAAAACACACTTGGGGTAGGACAACGTTATGCATCAATATGCATCATTATTTGAGCCCTGCCCAGGGTCTCCTTCAAGGATGGGTCCAAGGTCAGTAGCAACTCGTGGAAGCGAATATCCTCAGGGAGACAGGACGGTCAAATTGAAACCTATGGTTTTGGTGAACACGATGTAGTCACTCAGATGGTGGAGAGCCTATGGGGAAACAATGTTTTTTTGGATTCAAATAGTCGAAACGATGAGCACCCACCAGACTGACCCCGAGCAAAGACACATGCAAACATGCATCCCCAATCCTTGGTGAACTCTTTCCGTGCTGGTGAGGCACGGCGCTTCACAAACCCAGCGAGTTTCTTCACTTCGATCGAAGTCGTGTAGATAGCCTTCTCAGTTGGACTGTGTCCCACCTTCCTGAAGAGCTCTGCGATCTCAGCCTTCAAAGGGTCAAGGTAGGGCAACTTCCAACCTGGTGTTGCAGCAAGCCTTTTCCAAATCACTTTGAAGGCATCCATGTTTGCCACACAATTGGCACGTGAGGGTTCGCACCAAGTTTGCTTCACATCAGCCCGTTCAAAAAGCTGCTGCTTCTCACGAAGGAGACTGCGGACTTCCTCAATTTTGTCTAACTCACTGGCCAAGCCCGCCACATCCATGGGTGCTCCCTGCCCACCCCTATGAGTAGGAAGTTCCATTGTCACTGTGGCGCGGTCAATGACAAAGCTACACAAAACAAAAATGGCTGCAGAAGTGAAACTCTTTGTAAAATGACCCTGGCCCAACATTCTAAACAAATCACCTGAAACGAACATAGTGCCCTTTACATCTTGACAATGAGCCCAGCCCACCGCCAAGGTTGGAAATGGCTGGAAGCATCGACCACGCACTCGGAAAAAATGAGCTGGGCATCCAGACTGGGCAGTGGTTGATGAAGCCATTCTCCATGACCACACCCACACATAAGCGCGTGGCCAGATCGATCGGTGTAAAACCGATGATTTCAAGATAATATTTCTTCCGGGGGTCAGGATCTATATAGGAACCATAGTGGTAAGGTGCCTTCTAAAGGTCATTGTTCCCAATCCGCAGGACTCCACCCATATGTGGGAGCGATGTGTTATAATCGATTGATGTGTTATCATTGATTTATTGTTTTTAGATTGATGTGCTTATCATTGATTCCATGATCTTTTGCTTCAGTTCTATACTAAAGAAGCCACAAAGCAACAAAATCCACTCCACATAGGAAAAAACCGGTTTTTCCAAGGAACACGGTTTTTCTACACATTCACATGGAAAGCATGGTTTTTCATCTTCAACCCTAAAAAAAGACGGTTGTTGGTGCAGTAGGTATATATAACACATATTACCATATATTTCTGGTTTCTACCACCTGGTGACCTGTTCTCCTGCCATGACGAAAGCCTGTTCTCCTCAGGAGGGTCGAGGCATGGAGCAAGGCTTCAGCGCGGCTTGGAGGAGGATGTGAGGTGTTCACACGCGGGGCGCCCCTCGGGTTTTGGAGGGGTGTTCGCCACAAATGGGTATGTAGAATAAGGAGACCCCCCTGGAAGAGAGTGTAGAACCCCGTGGAATAGGGAGACCAGCAACCCGATAAGGAGACACCCTGCTAAAATCTGGAGATTCCAGCCTCCTGGAAGAAGAGAGTTCTTGACCACCACCCATTGGTGAGGGGTCTGGTGAACACCCCGCATCACCATTTTTTAGGGCTGTGAGACGCCCCAAGCAGAGCCCCTGGTATGTTCCGTCCAGTCCTATGAGGGATTGCGAGACATCTGGAGCGCGACGAACCACGACGAAGAATGAACCATGCAGCCTTCTCAGAGTCGGGCCTGCGTAGACTTTCTTGGGATGGCCGGGTGGGTTCAGAACGAATTAGGATGCAGAATCCTTTCAAAAACCTTGAAGAGCTGGACCATTCAGATTCAGCACGCTGGAATTGGGATTTGCTGTTGATTTGATCATAATTGATCTATGTTGCGAATGAAGAAGCACATTTTCTTTGCTGGATTCCAAGAACAGAATCCACCTTGGAAGCCAGAAACTCACCGTGAAGCTCATTTGTTTTCAAAGATGATCATTGCATGGACACATTTGGTTGCGGTTTATCGATGATTCTGTTTCGCACCACTTCTCACTTCTGGCTGGTGTAAGAGCGGGTGCTTAACCGGGTGCTTCCTCCGGTCCAGTCAGTTGCTGATCAATCTCCTCGGTGTTAGTCGACCATGGGAGCTTGTCGGCCTTTGACTCAAGGATCTGATAAAAGTTCATCACCTGAGACTCAAACAGTACTAAGGATACTAAGGTTTCTGCCGTGAAATACCGCAAACTTGATTCTGACATGATCCGGTACAACCCTAAGGCATCCTAATACTCTAGATAGCAAAGATCACAGAAATCCTCCTTTCAAGATCCACATCGCTAACAACCATGGTGGCTTTTGATGCGGTAGCCCTTCTGGCAATCCCGCTCAGGTCGTTCGCAGAAGCAGTGGCGACACGGGCATCTTTCCGAAGCAATACCTTCGGTCTGAGGATACGAGAAAAGGCTCCCAGCACGTGGGGACTTGATCGGAAAAGGCTCCGCTTGGGCGGAGGGCGCCTAAGCCGGGTTTAGTAGCGCAAAATGAGCCTACCAGAATCTGGGAAACCCTTGCAATTTCTTCAAGCTCTGACAAACATGGAGTACTCCAAATATCCAAACAGATCAAGTGGTCAATGATTGGACATAGGTGTGGTGCGGGTCAATACATTGACATGTCAGTGCCACATGTTGAAGTATGCAAGAAGTTGACCTTGCTGGTGGTCCGCTTCATGTGGGGTGGTCAGGGAGGGTGTCACCGCGGCTTTGTGGCATCCATGAAAACGGCGACCCCTTCGTCGCCTTTCCAAGGCGATCATCCGCGTTTGGTCCAGACTTCGCTTCATGGGTGCTTTGCATCCGCGGTGTTTTGCATCAAAAACCACTGATTGAACGAACTGTATCACTGTATCACTGTCCATCCAATCTGCCCCTGGAATCGTCATTGGAATCGTCAGATTCCTTCAAAAGCATCATTCAATCTACAAAAAAGTATATAACAACAACTAGCAACTTCTTCCATGGGGGTCAAGATTGGGAGCTGGGCCCCCTGGGAGGGTCAGAAGCCTCCGATCGTATTCGTAGAGGCTCGTTTGTTAACCGATGCACATTGATTGACTGCAGGGAACCCAGGGTCCCAAGAAGTGTTTGCATTAACAATCCCTGGAATTCTCATTGAAGTGGATGGCCTGGCCCTGATTTAGGATGGACCTTTTTTCCTCTACAAACCGGTGGTTTTCACACTCCATGATTATTGCAAGGAGTGTATTAACATTTTTTTTAAAAATGACATTTCGAGGCCTCAGCTTTGTCACTTCCTTGCTTGCCGCCCCCTTCTTCGCTTCCTCCGTGGTGCCATGGGGGGGGTCATCTGAAGCCAGACCTTCCTGGCTCGACCATGTCGTCCAAGGCAGCTTCTGGCTCAGAGGCTTCTGAACATTAAGGAACATCAAGGAATATGAAGGTGGTTCAGTGTGGGAGCTACAGATTTGGAAGAAGGATCTGAGTGACCCTGAGTATGGACCAACCATCTCAAATATGGCCTCTCATGATATAAGTATACTTGCTCCAAAGAAATCAGTTGACCCCTGGCCTTTTCTTCAAAACTCTTCGTCCCAGGGTCTCCTTAATTAAAGCGTGTGTGCTTTGCAGTGATGGGCGAGAGGTGGAAGGCAGAACAGGTGGAATGAAGTCTGTGAAGCCCAAAAAATAGGGTCATCTATGACACGAATCTGTGGTGTTCGGAATCATCCCGTAGAGTCAGTGACGGTTTGGTGGAAACAAGTCGCAAGGGGGCTTCAGGTGGTTTAACAATGTTTAACATGTTTTAATCAATTTAAAGCATCTTAGTATATTCATCCTTTGACTTTGACCTGTACTCCCGCACGACAAGGATTTTCATTTCACGATTCCGGCAGAGATCGTTGGATGATTGCAATGTTTGGTATGATGAGGCCTTTGTTGTGGCCCGTGCAAACGTGCAGCTTGCTGAAGCTGGACAAGGACATAAAACAATCACTGCATGCTAAGATATAGTAATCAATTTGGGAGATTGAACAACTACTGCAGCAGCCTCTCTATCCAGATGACCATGTTACAGACGATTCAGGGGAGTGGGCGGCACTACATTTTGCTGGCGGCATGCGTGGACAGTTCATCAGCTTGCTGGTGGCGGGTGCAGTGCACGTAGCGCCAGATCTTGAAGGTGGCGTGTTCGAAGAGACAGCCTTGCACTTGGCAGCTTAAACGTATCTACTGTACATGTAACCTGTGCAGCTGTTGCTGGAGTTGCTGCAGGCTGACATCCGGCGGCAGCCGCAAAACCTCCTCTAATGACCAGACATTTCATGCTTGTTCCCCTGTGAATGCCTAAACAAGCACGACCAACAAGCCAATTAATGAGTATGTGTTTCCGACTGCAAGTGAACTTGCCAAGATGGACACCATGAGCAGCTGCAGAAGCGAACTTGGGTGGATAGAACCGGTCCAAGATGATCGGTCCATGGATCGGTTGTTTCCAAGAGAGCGAATGGATCGGTGGCGTCGGGGAGCTGAGTTCGTTGCCAGGGAAAGGTGGAGATCATGGAGCTGAAGCAGGACCTTTGCTGAAGGCCAAGCACACAGACCTGAGGAAGTTCTGCGGTATGTCCGAAGGTCTGGGTGCGAGAAGCCAAAAAGAAGCGCCCAGGCAGGGCTTGTCTCGTTTGTCTCGTTTTCGACCCAAAGCCGTCTGAAAACATTCTGAGAGGAGGTTCAGATGGGAGGCACAGGACAGGCGCTCCTTCAACCTCTTTTTCTGGTTTGGGTCATTAGCGGATGTTCTCAAGGGTATTCAACAAACATGCTTCTGCGCGTCTTGAAGACAACGGATTCTCCCCGCGGCGTGTGTCGCCTGGCTCCAGCGGAGTGAGGAATGAACAGTTACACCCGGTGTTTGAGAGTTCCACATGGAACCGGACTTGTCATGGACCTGCAAGGACAACGGTTTTCCTCCAGTGGTTTTCAGGTTCCATGTCATTCGAACAGGGCGTAGGGGAATGAACAGGGCTGGTTTAATAGACTGGAATAGATCCAGAGAGCTCTTGAGGCAATGAACCAGATTTGTCGTCTAATTAGTCTAGTTGGGGTACCACGACCATGTGGTTGGAGAGTCCAAGACAAGTTGTGGTTGGAGAGTCCAGTCCTTGGATGGTCCGGGTAGTAAGATTATTGTATGATAAGAGTCTATGACTTCTTCATTGACGATGTTGATTCGTCAAGCCACAAAAGCCACACCTTACCCAGGTATTCATCTGTAAGTCAACCTTGGTGAGGTCTCGCATGTCGAGAGACGTTGTCCATTCCAACCAATTCCACACCTTACCTTTTGGGGCCGGTTGGCCCCCACCAGCCCCCTCACTGTGTCGCCATGGCGGGCGTCGCTCGCGACGCAGGCATTGCAGAGCACGGCTAGACTTATTCGACCGGGACCGGGACCCACTGAAATACATGGAGAGGGGAAACGAAACTGGTAACTTTTGGTAGCTCTATCCTGTATCATTGCAATAATTGCACGTGATTTCAGGAGTTCAGGAGTTGAACCCCAAACAGTAGACATGAGCTAGCATGCTACCCAATGGAGATTCCTCACAAGCCCAATATCCAAGGCCAAGTTTAGTCAGCATCCCAAGGCTAGGGTAGTGCACAGAAAGGGTTTTGCAAAAATCTATTCGACTAACTTTGTGGATGGCCCCGGGACATTCGTGGAACCCGGGGCCGTTCATGGACGTGAACGGGTGAACGGTGGGCCAGTCGGAAAACTCACCGCCACAACCCAGCAACCTTCGCAGAGCTTTGTGGAAGGTACTTTTGATGCACTAACTTCGTATAAAGTAGTTTTTGCTGCTTTCCACACACACACACACACACACCCTCCTCCCTCCATTTAGCCTTCATCACTGTTGGTGTTCATGATCTCAACCTCCAGCGACTGCAGGTGAGGAGACGGTGTTCCTATGTTTGGAGGCACCTGAGAAGTAGACTGCTGAGGTCGACGGGTAGACTGCTCGTGTGCTTTGGGCACGATCGAGTGATCTAGTGACAAACATATTTCATTTTGTTTAAATTAGCGAAGCCTCTCTCCCGCTTAGTTGTATTATATACTGCTCTTTGTTGCCGGGTTAGATAGTGGGCGGCGATTTTTCGCAGCCAAGTCCTGGGCTGGGAACGGTTCCGGTAGTGTGTAGTCATTGGCGGTGCAGCCAGCCCTGAGGTTCACCGGGGACCACGTACTCAGCACCGGGTACAACCCAAATGATCTCAAATGCACTGATTTAGTGCGACACATACCATCGGTGAGCGGACTCTCAGAGTGGGGCGATATATCGGCAGGCTCTCTTGAGCGATAGATCTTAAGCAGACCTGGGATACATCGGGATCTTTGTGGACAACCCATATCATCCCATATCTCTTATGCCATCTACTCTCAAAAGATACTTTTTTTCTGAACACTCACAGGTGCAGGAAGGGGAGCTGGAGGTTCAGAAAGTCGTTTCACCCCGAGGGATGGTTCAAGTACAGATGGAGCTCACGCTTTTTGGGTCGTTCGCGGCTCGTTTTCATGTGGAGATCCGGAGTAGACGACTTCTGAAGATCTTAATGGAGGTTGAATATCCACCAGACACTAAGCTCAACATTGAATGTTCTTGGTTTTCCAACATTGCATAAACCCGCCTTCCTCAACCCCATCGTTTGATGTTCCAGGGGTCTATGCATGTTCCGACAATGACACAATGACAACCACACAAACGAGTCTCCAAACCCAAAACACGTGACACGTCCAGGCAAGCGACTTGTTGCTGGAGCCGATGCCACTCGAGCTGAACGATTTGTTTGTGTGTGTGTGTTTTGTTCTGTGTGTTAGTGTTTATGTGTTTTTTTGTGCGTTACTGTACTGCACGGGCGTTGTTTCTTCCGTTCCAAAGGTGCATGCCAAGTTCTACCAAACCATGTGTGTGTGTGGCAGACAGTATGGGTTTTGAAGGCAAAACAAGCACATTGGATTTACACTGTTCATTTGGTAGTTCTTTTGCTTCAGTGCATCTCGGCTGGGCTGCTCGTTGTGCTGGCCTGTTTTCGGGAAACAGACTGGTCGTCTACCCACCGTCCAGGCCAGAGGGTCTCCCTATGTCTCCCTACACACCCTTTTGTTTCTATAGCCAGCACCGGAAGCCAAGGCAGAAGCTGTGTGATTTGTGAAACTGTTTGACATGGAGACATGGTGTGTGGTGTGTCGTTGGTTGCCAGGTGACCTTGTCATACTCAACAGATGCAGTGTGCTTGTTCGGGAACCTAAGTGTATACACTGTAAAGGTGCCAGGTACTACTGACTACCTGGTTCAAGACAAGCTGCACCTAAAAGTTGTTTTCCTGGTGAAATTTGGGATTTTATCCCTTCGAGATGAGACCCTGGATGCTGGGGCTCTAAGCAACCAAGTGTTCCACTCAATGGATCAATGGTCACCGGTGTCAAGGATGTGCTTGTCAATGGTTGAATCGCCCGCACCGCTTAAGCGGGGCAGTGTATCTCAAAAAACAGCTGAAGACTGAAGCCCAAGATATTGCATGTTTCACCCTTCTTCTCTCCTACAGTACCTTCCCTTGTCACCGCGTTTTTTTTGAATCCACTGACTGTGGATATTTGGAGCAGGGAATCTCCAGCAAACATGTCACTGCCATGCCAGGAAGAAGTCCTCTAAAGAACAACCTACTGTGGCCGCAGTGCCGGCAAGCTCTTTGGGCTTTGTTCCCGATTGCAAGTTTGCCCAACATATATATATATATATTATAGAACTCCTGGGATTGTCTCGTGCAATTGCATTGGGGGACAGGATCGAAAATGGATGCGCCCCCCCTAAAAAGGGGCCCACCAGTTCCCCCATCTACATTGATCAGATGACCACATCGATCAAGAAATCTGAATATTTCTGGTGAAACGATCGACCTCCACAATGGCAAAGTCCGTGTATTTGGGTTGACTGCCTTTCAAGTCAGCAGAATCAACTACAAGACATGGTGAACCTGGCTATTTCCATGCAGGGTCTGATGGTCCGGGTTCTCCACAGCATGGCTATTCCATGGCTCACCCCATGACCGCTTTGAGGTGCAGCACCTGGGAGCTCCAACAGGAGCCCGAGCCGAGCCGGTGTCCCCGCTGACACGTCGTTGAGACGGGTGGTTTCTGGACATGGTGTTGTTGGTCACCATCCTAGGTGGAGAACGTTAATTAATGTTAATTATACATGTTTGTTTGTTTGTTGCTATCACTAGTTGTATTTCGTCTACCCGTGCCACAAGGTTTGAATTTCTTTTATGGAAGTGACCTCGTGACGACGAACTAGAGGGTGTTAAATCGGCTGAAGAATGGGCCGTGAAAATTCTGACCAACTTCAATTTAGAGAGCGTCCCGTTGCCAGGCCAACAGTCAGCAAACCCTTTACCAGCGAAAGGCCTTTACTTAAGCATCAACATCCTCCTTCTCCTCCTCAGCAGCAGCAGCATCATAATTATTCCTCATCATCATTCTTCATCACCATCATCACTCACAACCAGCATCACAACCAATCATCGTTGATTGTTCATCCTTCATCATCCTCGTCGTCGTCGACGTCGTCCTTGTCGTCGTCGTCCCATGTGCATCCATCATTCATCATCCATCATCCATCATCGTCGTCATCATCATCATCGTCGTCCTCCTCCTCCTTCTCTTCCTCCTCATCCACTGTTCTTGGTCATGGGCTATATTTATAGACCTCAGGTTTCCATATACTCGACATCTCATCACATTGTCCGCACTGGAGTTCTCAGAGCCCCTGATGCGTTAGACGTTGTCTCCGCTTCTGGGTCCAGCTAGGAGTTGTTTGCCTTCAAAAGAGAGTTCTGCGGGGAGGTGTTTCAAAAGCTTAAGTTTAGAGGTAGTTTCAGTGAGCTGGAGAATGACCCAAGACGACTTAATTCATGGATTGGATTTCAGTTGTCTCTGAGAAAAAAGGAAATTGCTCAAGAGCTGTCTAATTCCTTTCAAGTTGTCCAATTGGATCTTGAAGGTCGCACGGGATGACTTCCTGCTGCTCCAGCAGGATCTGGCCAAGGTCGCATGGGATGACGTCGAATGCGTCGATCGCTGTGAGGAGTTGGTTCCCTATGTGCTCTCGCACTCCCTACAGCCTGGGTCCTTGAGATGTTGCTCGGGACGTGTGGCTCAACAGGGGGGCGGACAGGAACCATTCGTTGACACTCCGACGAACACCTCACATGGAAGTGGAAGACCCACTGGTTCGTAAAGGAAAGCAGTCTGCCGATCGGCCATTGTCCACTTCCATGTTAGTGAGTCCGAAATGTTTTCCATTGGCCGCACAGTGATGTTCAGGAACAAGCGAACAGGTCGTCTCCGGGTTGTGGCATCCACGATAAAGCAGAAGGAGAAGCAGCAGTGATCTAGCAACAATGCACAAGTGTGAGTTGGATTCGGTTACGTGATGTTACATGTCAAAAAAAGGGTGTTAAGGTCAAAATGCATGGTTTGAGATGCCTTTTGCATTTGTCTATCACAAAGTTCAACGTGTGGAACATTTGATTTTGGACATGACAAAAAAGCAATGGTGCATGTGTACATTCGACTTACAGTTCACCGGATCATTCCACACAGCACAATACCACTGCAGATGCAGCACAAAAACTCCTGGCAACCTCCTTGACCAGTCCTGCCATGTCCGGCCAGTGGGTCACACTTCTTCGGGGGTGAGGGGTGTATCCCTCTACGGCCAAGAAGGAAGGTGCCAGAGCTGATGCTTCCGGTCCCATGTTGCGTTTGCTTCCGGCAGCGCTCAGTGTTTTGGTCGAAGAACGCCCTTCGCCCCGGGGGGCCACTGACCGACGGTGTGTGGCAAAGCCACTCCTTCTAGCGATCCTTTGGTCCATGTCCAGCCGAGTACTCGTCATCATGTCTTTCGGTTCGGAGTGTTTTTTTTCTTCAGCATGGAGTGTGAGCTGGGAGTGAGCTGGCCCTCCTGTGAAGGCACATTCAGTGTGAGCATGGCAGCATGGCTCATCTCCATCTGGCGGCACCTCGAGCCATCTGAGGCACGAAGATTTCCTCAAACTCCCCAAGGCAGAACGCCAGGCACCGGACCCGGCGGGGCTTGACGGTCGGCGAAACGTGTACACGGCGAACGCCGCGAACGATCTGGAGAACGGTGGAGCAGGGTGAACATGTTTTCGGGGTGGTTTGACCGGTGATAAACGATATAAACGGTTACGGCACCTGTTTAGTTTAGCAGATGTTGAAGGTTCTCCTACCTGGATCATCAAACATGTTTGGTCCATATGATAGTCCATATGTTGCGGCCCTGCTCAACCCCAAGCGAACTTGACCATGAACTTGAGCGCCCGACGCAATTTCGACTGTTCCAGCACCTTGGACCGTTGGAGTGATCCTGCACCGCAGCAGGTTGGGCAACTTCGAATGATCGGTTTTGATCGGGTTTGTATCACAGTGATGCAGAAGTACCGTTCCTTTCTGCCAAATTCTTATGCCTTGGATTCACTATTTGCTGAAGGAATTCACCAACCGTTTATGCAGCTCAGAAGTTGCTGTTGGGTGCCAGCGATTCTCCTTCAGATGCCAGCCAGAAAGGACTACTTACTGCCAGTATGATCAGTATGGCCAATATCGCTCAAAAAGGGGTCTCCAAGCCAATATCCACCAATACCTGCAGATTTCAAGGCCCAAGTTGGCCAATGTCAGGACCTTGACCCCCGCCTCCACCGATCCTGTGCATAGTCAACACCACACCGACCGACCTACGCGGCCTCGCTTCCCCGAAGCTCCGAGCCCTTCGTCGCCGAAGCTCCGAGCCCGCCCCTCGCCTTAGGCGAAGGTGAAGATCCTGACGCAGCGGATCTTAAGCGGCGGCGAGACGGGAGCTCCCTCAGGTGGGAAGCGATCTCCGTCGACGCGGCCTGGAGACGTGGTGCAGCCGTGGGCGGGACCAGAAAGAACGAGGGGTCGGGTGGAGAAGCACGGAGAGTATCGGAGAGTCGTTTCTTGAATGTTGAGTCTTGTTCGAGATTCTGTTCAGACATGGGACTTGCAGGAACATGATTGAAATACTTCTGTGGGTGGTTCAAATGACGTTTGCCTACATCTGGAATAATGAACCTCAAGATACCTCAAGTATAGGTTTTGTATATGGCCGATGAAACTCGATGCTGCTGATTGCTGTACTCAGGATGTTACAGATTGTTTTATGGTTTAATTGTTTAAATATGTGATATTGGTGATATGGCCATTTAACATGGAATTAGGGGGTCTATGAGTTGTCCTTTTAACTGTTCCACACGTGGATTACATATTGGAATAATTTCCAAGATCTATATGGAAGGGGTCTGTAATAATATCTATACTGTAATTATTCCCAGGTATGTTGAGATAGGGGTGCTCTATGGTAGGGACCAATATTATATTAGATATATTGTATATTATACATATATTGTATATATGTGATAGGCTATCCGTGTTTAGATTTGGGTCTGTCGGACCAGTGTTCATAGTGGCAATTGACAATGGTAACTGCATCCACTACAGGCTACAATTATGAGAAGGCCCCTTATAAACACCTAAGCCGACCTGACACAACCCCGAACACACATGATTTAGAGTCGTGTTTAAAACTGTTAGTTGTAATCTGGTTTATACAAGTTTCATGCGAGACTGTGATTTTTTGAGTATTTCTCGGAAAACGAGACTGGAAATCCAAAAGCACGATACCTCTACAGTCATGATTATGTCCTTTGACGTCAATGTGTGAACCCTGCACAGCCTCCATGCAAAACCAATACCCTAAATACTTTGATGTAGAAAGCAACTATAACTTTGTGTGTATTTTGATAAAAGGGCTAGTGATGTCATGAACAGTCTCCGAAAAACCCTTCCGTCATGCCGAACGGCCGAACGCGATTGCGAACGGCCTGCGTCAGGCGATGAGGAGGAGTCGCCGGGACAGCTCAGGCGCTTCGGGTTTGAGCTGTCCGTCGCATACTTAAGACCACTTCAAAGAACGAGCTGTTCCAGCACTGCCTTGGTGCCCATCAGTGTTCCAAGTCCCCTCTTGCGCGGTTGATTTGGACCCTGATGTAGCAATGCAAGGCAAGTGCCTCCAGTGCTACATCCTTCAAGGCTACGTATTTGGAGGGCACATCTTGCACAGACGGAACATCATATCATCAAGCAATGCAAGGCGCTCCAAAAGACGCAACAGCAACACTTGCACTCTTTGGCAGAAAGCCAGGTAGCATTGCATATTCGAAGGCAAAGAAAGCATGAAGCAGTCCTGACCAACTATTACAATCAAGCAATAGAAAGCATGGGCAGGCTCTAATTACTTCGAGAGCCACAACCCTCGGTACACAAAGAATATGGAGAAAGGTTTCTTTTGCATGCACAGGAATTTAAACTGCTCGTGCACCTACCACACAAAAATGGAATGGTGGAATGCTACGACATAGAAGACACGAAAGCACAACTCCTGCCACCCCATCAACGTTCCATGATAATCCAATCCGACACCTTCCGAACATTATGCGGACACATCAAAATCTATGACATACAAACATTCATTCCAATATGATCCAATATGTATATATATATATACATATATTATATAACAGCAAACAAGGGGCTAAAAGCCTAAAAGCCTAATCCAGCTTGGTTTCAGTGCAAGACATCATGCAAGCTTGCAATGTTCGGCTGTTCTTCTACGAGCCAATGAATTCGCAAAATGCAAGGCTGGTGATATTTGAGCTGTGTTCAGCGAACGGCAATTGATACTTTAGACTGAAGAAGGGGATCAAGCAAGCTAACCGCACCAGCGTGTGGCCGTTCTGGCAAAGCTGGCTCCGACCGCCACTCAAACAGCGAACAGCCACCAAGGAACAGTCGAACAACCGTTCGAAGGTCATCACTCCCACATGGGACGGTCGAAGGTGCTTCCTTCGCGAGGGTCTTACAAGGGGTCCAGTGGCAAAGCCTGTTGCCAGGTGCAAGGACCTCGCGCCACAGATGCTAGCTGCAACCTGACCAAAGTAACCACTGCTTTGGGCGAAGCAGCAGTCCAGTCAGCACTATATAAGTCGTCCGGACAATGAAAAACGGGACAACTGGGTCGACTTGAAGGAAGTGACTGGAGCAGCTTGAAGGTGGTTGAAAAGGATATGTTCATTGAGTGTTCGAGCATGTAAGCAGATGCAGCAGATACGGCATGTGATCTGTATAGTATAGATGACACAGTTTCACCACCCCAAGAATCCTTGGAAAAGGTCGAGCTTTCCATCGGGGTTTGCACATGGGTGTGGATCCTTAGGGCACTTGGGAGGTTGAACCACCTGGGATTTCCCACATCTATACCATCGACGGGTGAAAAGGGCAAAGCCGACAGCACCCTAAGCACTTCGACACAATGGCTGATCCGTTTTTGTCACAGTCCTCATGTCACCTGCAGCGGTGGCGCCGAACCATCCGTGCCAGGATGGCTGAAGCGCTGAGTCCGCAGTGGGGGTACCAAACACCATCCGTGCCCGACCGCCGTTCGAGGGATGAGAGGAGGGTCAGTAGGATGTGTCAGTGTCTATCAAGTGATTGGCAGCTGTCACTCTTGTAGCTTTGAAAGAAACCTGCCTGAGTGTCCTTGTTCGTTTGCAAGGTAGGATGTGTTGTTTTTAAATGTGAACAACAGCAACAACAGCAGCGCGTGAACGGCTCAACAAGAAGCGGTCCCATACTTGCTCCCATGGTTTCTTCCCCACCCAACCAGTTTTCCGCACTCCGCGAACCTTGGACAGACAGACGTGATCGCTGACCTTCCAAGCGCCAAGCGCTGAAGCTTTCAGCAGCTCTTCGGGAGCACCGGTGTGGTGTTGAATCCACGTCGTTTCATGTGAGACTTCGGTCGACATCGGTCGATGTGTCATGAAACTCGGTTTCAAACAAAGGATAACCTTGGACGACCTGTCCAAAACTTGCATGTAACAAAAAGCGGACTCTTGGTGTGTTTAAATTTGTTTGACTCTGGTGATCAAAACCTCCCCCATGTTTGTTCGGACGCCCGCCGGCACTGTGAACTTCCACAAACCCTGCTTTTTGCAAACTGAAAGACCAGATGGACGCAGTTCCTCGACTCACCGAGCTTTGACTCAATCGCACGCACCGAGTCGCTTCTGGGCACACCTGCGAGCCAAGTGGGGGTGCCAGCGGGGCGACGGAACGACACGACTCTTCTTTGACTCCCAAAAAGAACTGGGACATGATTGGGAATGTGGAAATTATGAAGATGAAATCACAAATCACCATGGAGAATTGAAATGATGGAGATGTGGAATCTGGAAGATATGGTGGCTTCGTGGACCTTTGGAGGTCCACTCAACATACTCAACTTCACACGAAAAAACGACGACTGGAAAACAACATAGTTGATCAAGGATGGGTTCATTTTGGTGTTATGTAACTTGTTACGTGGCAGGAATTGGAAGCTAGCGGCGGCATGTATGAGGATGGGTGTGTGGGCTTCAGCTTTGGCTTTGTGACCGGGAACACGCGGGGATTCACCCAGTGTGGACGAAGTGTCGAACCAAATCGACACCGACAAACCAACAAAACAAACACCAACACACCATTCAAGTCTTGATTCTCCGGCCTTTGTGTTTATATAACTTGTTGGACATGCACTAGTACAGGCGACTCTCCATACGAGCTAATCTGTTGGACGTTTTCCAGACGAGCTAATCTCTTAGTCTGTTCACAGTGTTCAATAGATGACACATTATTATGGTTGGATGATGTTGGATGTGGTTAGGGATGTGCATCATTTTGATGCAGGAATTGGATACTGGAGTAGCGCCTTTAACGCAAGGACCTATGTTGGTATCTCGAGCCCCCGTCAACCATGATCACCCACTCTTTTGGGAATACGAGACGCCGAGTTCGTGCCATGAGATTCCATTTGCTTCATGTGCAGTTATGACGTAGAGTAGAGTCATATACTGTATAGACTCGTTCGCAGTTTCATTCTGGAGGCTCAAAGGATTGAGACACCGACTTCGTCTTGAAGCATCCCCCGCAACCCAAAGTGGGCCACTTCGATCGGCCAAGACCTGATCGATCTTCCTGGGCTCGGCTCTCCGACTCGAACGTCAAGTGGTCCATTTGATTCCATTTGCATTCTTTGTTGCATTCTTTGTTGCCAAACAGGTGCAGCAACTGAAAGAACACGACCTTGGTAGAGGAACATTTAAACAACAGCTCCTTTTGACTCTTACTTTGCTTGGCTTGCATTGTGTTCCAAAAAGCAAGATGCCGTGAGTGCACATTTCAGCACCAAGTCCTTCAAGGTGTCATTTCCTCACTTGTGGAGTTGCACTAGTATTCTGTGAGTTCACTGTGTCCAAAAACAAAAAAATGTCAGAAACTTGAGAACAACTCCAAGGCATGACTCATGCAATTTCAGACTCGCTGGGCTCACTTGGCCCCCCTACCATTGCCACCATGTGCCACCTAGCTCACCGGTCACTTGGCCCATGACCGCGCGACATGCGCCACCGCCGCCTGACCGCCGCCCTCGTTCTGGCGGCGCCCCTCGCCTTCGCACCGCCGCTGCGTCGTCCTGCGGCGCGCGAGAAGGCCATGCGGGCGTTGGAGGCGGAGAAGGCCTTGGAGGAGCCGAACGGCGGTGAGACGGTCGTGGCGTGGAGAGCTGAACGCACATGGGTGACCAGGAGAAGTCTTCTACTTTCCGGATTTGCTGTGACAAGGAGAAGTCTTGGAAAGGTTAGTCGGCTTTATTTGTTCGGATTATCTTTAGCTACTGAACATCGGATAGGGTTAGTTGCACTATGTGGAGTAGAAATGACATGACATGCATGGAGAAAAGCTCCAGTTGATTCTGCCAACTCCTCCCATCCCGTGCTCCAAAATCCACCGTATCGGGTCTACTGAGACCCAGTGACTCCCAGTAGTCTGGCAGAGTCTGGCAGGAGACCCAGGACACAGCAGAACGCCCACCAAGCTTGCACATCTTTTGGGACCTTGAGAACAAGATTCCGGATGCCCGGTTGGCCATTTCAGGGTGATGCAAACAAAAAGCGATGCTAGCTGTTCCAAAGGAAGGTTTGAAGAAAGCGATGAAGCAGAAGAAGTGCAGTGAGGGCAGCAGACTACACCAATCATGCATAACTAACCTGTATACTGGAACCATTGTTATGCTGGGACAATCACTCACTGATGGGGTTGTTCACTTTGCATGTGACCCCTTTACTGCTGACCTGCACCGGACAGCGCTCAGGAAAGGCTGGAAGACACTATGGCCTGTTTGCTGTTCCCCAGTCCTACAACTTGGCGTGGGAACGTTCGAGTTGATTCAGGGCATATATATATATATATATATATTAGCTATGTTTTAGCCGCGCCTTTTAAGTGACGAAACCCTTGAACGGTCATTTACATCCCGGACAACTCTATTCTTGTCCTGGTGGGGTGTGCGCCCAAGCACAAGCACTGCAGCACGTGAGGGCCCTCATTCAGGCCTTGGACACGGGCACAGCCCAGGAGCCAGAGGGGGGGGGGGGCGAATCCCAGGACCGTTCTGAAGGAGAATCAACATGATGTTTGACGGTCCGACAGTTGAAAACATCTACACCTTTATGTCACATGTTGCAGAATCACCGTTTGACAACCCTTTTTTTGCATTTGTTTGTGGTTTTTTGGGCCCTGTGACGGCAGACCAACATTCCTAGGACCGCGCTCGCTCACCGGACTCCCCAGCAACGTGTTCCCACGAGGGCCCCGGAACCCGCTCGTTCCGCGAGCCCCGTTCATAGTGAGACCATGGATGACAAGACAAAAAGTAAACAACAAAAAGCGACGTCCGTGACATAGATAGCCCTTTACTCTTGGTTGGTTGATTCAAAGAGGGGATACCTCCAAGTGAACAACCGATAATGAACCCCTCTATTTGGTCAAAAGGATTCATTGGTTGGTGATGAAGCAATTCCCAGATGTTTTATCGCAGACGTTTCGCCCAAGCGAGTGTGATGAGCTCTGAGTGTGAAATGTGGCTTCTTCTATCTCACCTCTACCTGGTCTAATTCCCACAAATCACTGAGGCAGGTCAGAAAGCCCGCTTTGGTCGTGGAGAACACCGGTGTTTGGTGTGCCCTTTTCGAGCACTGAGGGGGTGAACACAGAATCTCCAAAAGGAACAGGTCCTGTATTTTTGATTAACCGATGAATGCGTACATGTAATGAATAGTCTTTTCAATCAGGTGTGTTTGACCTAGGACCGCATGAGGTCGTTGGCACTTGTCACTCCGTAATGCCGTATTGTTAGTTTGTCTGTTTTTTTTGGGGATGTTTTTGTCATTTATATAAGTGACTGAGAGAGTTCGCAAATCAAGGATTCGTTTTACCTAGCCATACATCTCAATTACCGTGTTCAAGAAGAGAAACAAGCAGCTAGCCTGTTAATGTGATGCCAGTGTTTCAGAATAGTTTCTGCCACAACTTTTAAGGCAGTGCTTTCCTGGACACCAGTTGAAGTCCGTCCGCCTCTATACCAGTTGCTGGAACGCAATGTGACCCTGCCCTGTTCGCTTGGTTTGGTTTTTGTATGTTTTTGTACACAGAGAAAGCGTCTCACGACATCCAATACATTCCAAAACCTTTCAAGGGGAGTCCATCCAATAGATTCCATCTACTAACTATCCAACGGAAATGCTCTATTTGCTTTGCAGTCACTACCTGTTGAAAACTCCGTCACCCAGGTCGCCGACAGGAGACTGGAGGTCACCCGGGTCGCCCCCAAATTGGTAGCGGGATGCTTCGAAGAAGGGGGTGGCACCCCTGGAACACAGCGCAGCGTGGTGTTTGGATCGATCAACGCCTCTGTTTGCATATCGAAGTGATTGTCCACTTGATCGGCGCCCCTGAAAGCAAACCTCTCAGAGCTCCTTAGAAAAAGTTAATGTCATGGATAGTAATAGCTACGGAGCTTGGCAACACCTGCTGGAAAGCATGTCAGTTCAACTTGGCAACATAGTTCAACCATGTCGGCGTGTGAACAAACTCACAAGAACCCAAAGACCTGCCACCAGGGGCCCTTCCTTCGAGTTCCAGACCGCGCCCCCTATGACATGTGTTGGCTGTTGTTCGTTTTTGCGAAGAAAAAGCGATCCGCTGTTTGCGAATCCGAGGGGAGGCGAGGAGGTCAACAGATACCAACGGAGGTCCCGAGGTGAGAATATGATAGTAATAGACTCAACGTGTGTTGATGCATATCATGTCTGAATGGAAACACGCCGGGGATAGAGCCATTTTCCTTTTGGCTGGGGGATGGACACACTGGAGCCACTGCGCCCATGAGGTTTTAAGAGCCTTGGCTTCATGCCTTCCTTGATGAACTTCTTGACCGATGTCAAGGGGAATAAGGCCACAGCATCGGGCCAATCATCACCTGAGGTTGTTAAACCCTGTCCATGTGGATGGCTCAAAGTTGTGTGTGTGTGTTTGTGCCTATTTTGTGTTGAAATAAAGCCTCTTCTGAGTCCCTTTCTGTCTCTGAACTCTGGTGCCGGGTGGGTGGGAGAGCATTCTTCCCAAGTTGGCCAGAACAATCAGGGTATGTCACATCATCCCTGCCAGCGCTCATTGGAGTCAAGCAGTTGTTTGTTCTTGGAGTGCACCTCACTGAAGCAACAGCGTGTGTGTCCAAGAAGTCGTGGCAGAATACTTCTGTTTCTCTCGCACGCCAGACTTCTTCTCCTTGTGCAGCTCTTGTAGGGCTCTGACAGGGGAGGCTTGAAAGGTGCCACTTCAATTGTGGGAACCGTACTCCATCTGTTCATGCAACATACATGATCAGGTCACTTTTTTCAAGATCTTCAGGTCATTTCAGGTCTACTTTTGGTGCCACCTGGGTCTGACTGTCTTTAGTCTCCACCTGCTCATTCATCCGCTGGCGCCAGAGCTTCCCCCAGCTCTTCCCCAACGGCGCGCGCTTCCCGCTGCTCAACGCTGCTCCTTTGGCCGCGCTCGACGCGCAACTGGTCGTGGTGCCAGCGCGGTGGCAGGCGGCGGACTTCTGGACGCTTGGAGAGACCTGAAGCGCCGGGTGATGTGGAAGTGGAATGGCTTGGAGCAGCCAGGGAAATGCAGATCTATTTGTACAAGCTTGGTGTTCAGGAGTAAT